TATTAACAACTTGAGCTGGTACTATAAGAAATACAATGAGTGTGTGTGTGCGTGTGTGCGTGTGTGTGTGTGTGTGTGTGTGTGTAGTACTTACCATTCCATATATACTGTATTAATGATGAAGGAGGTCCTTCTAATCCACCAGTGCTGACAGGGATAATAATAAATGAATAATTAGTACCAATAATGAAGGAACCAATAGTTCCTGATGAAATGTTGACAATGATGTTTTCAGTATATGTGCTATTACTGGTTATTGTGATATTATAATGATGTATACAGTCTTGTTGTTCTGCCCATTTAATCAATAATGCACTATTGTTGATTGGTTTAACTGTTACATTAACTGGTACTACTGGACCTTTAAAGCAGTAGTAATAATGATAATAACACAATGCCTAACCTGTTACATTAATAGGTAGATAAATAAAATTTTCAAGCACCAATGCATCTGAGCAACCAATCGTAGCTCCATTCAATGATGTTGTTACCGATTCAATAGTAGCAGTACTAGTTATCATGCTACCATTAAAATGACTGACAGCCAGTAAGAGACTGTCTATTTGAGAAGGCACAGTAAGACTTGATACTTCAGTTATTCTACCACCATCTGTTTGCCAAATTACACTACTGGTATCAGTTTGACAAGTAAATTCTACTCTATCACCCAGACAGAGTACAGTACTAGCATTAGGTTCTGTTTGCTGAAAGAGTACTACAGCTGTATTTAAAGTTACATATTAACTATTATGTTAACAAGACAGACTTACTAGAAACAAGACTCAAACATTCAGTCAATACAAGACACCAGTAGATACCAGTAGTAGCCATTAGTATCAATAATAGAAATGAGAACTGAAATACTGTTATGATAATAACAATGAGCAAATACTCACTTAACTCAAAGCAATGTTACTGTTGTTCTTCTTTGTACTTACAAAAGTTACACCTACTGGACTACTAGTGTGTGGTTACTCTTGTCTATCATAACAATTAAGCACATGATGTGCATGTAGTTACTCAAGACTAATGTGCCTAGAGGATTGCATGTACATAATATTCAAGTAAAGAACAATCTCAGTTAATGTAATACTGAGATATGAAACTTTTTCTAGATTTTGTGGGTATACATTGAATATAAAAAATAGATCTATAGAGATTGTTGATTTTTTATTTTATAAATTAGTCTGCCCATATGCAGTGTTGAGTTTAGTATCAATAATTTGTTCTTGTTGTTCAGTATTGATTGTTGGTAGATCATATATTGGACCAATAACTGCTGCTTCTCCTTCTCCTCCTACCGGAGTTTTATTTTGTATTGTAGTCCCTCTCTTTTTCATTATTAAACATACAATGATACTAGTAATTATTGCAGTAATGAGTCCAGTTAATAGACCAGTGATAGGTATGGCAATAGCAACTGTGTGTGTGTGTGTGTGTAATAGATTAGATACACTTAATGTATTAACTAACCACTAATGAATCCTACATCTGTTGATTGTGGAGTTCCTGTAGTATTACATGAAGCATAACCTAATGAACAATATGTTGACTGCATATATGTATTGATTATTATAACTTACTCTCAATGTAACTGCTTATTATTGTTTCAGTTATTGTAATTGTGATTGTTGGTAATGCTGTCATAGCTGAGCTTTTATCTTTTGTTGTGATATACTCAGTAGTACTAATCATAATGTTAGTGATACTTGATGTAGTAGTGGTTATACTGACTACAGTAATGATATGTATTTATACATTATATTAGGTACTGATGCTATATACCATTAACAGTGACTGATGGTCCATATCCAATAACATTAACAGGTATGATAGTAACAATGTAGTATTCATTAATAGGAGATAGTCCAGTAATAGTAGTATTAGTATCTGTTACATTATAACTGTACACAGAACAACTATTAATACAAATTGTTGTAATGTATACATTAATAATGTAATGCTCAATAGGAGGACGTAATGTTATAGCATCCTAATAGAATCTATTATTATCATAAATAAAACTGTAACTTACATCATTGTTATTCCACCATATTGTAATACTATCAGTTGATATCTGATACCAACTAATATTAACAACTTGAGCTGGTACTATAAGAAATACAATGAGAGTGTGTGTGTGTGTGTGTGTGTATAGTTCTTACCATTCCATATATACTGTATTAATGATGAAGGAGGTCCTTCTCTTCCAATAGTATCAACAGGAATAATAATAAATGAATAATTAGTACCAATAATGAGATTATTGATAATATATAAGGCAATTTCATTTACTGTATCCTCTTGAATGATTGTCTCATTACTGTATATTGTGATATTGTACTGATTTATGCTGCAATTGTAATCCTGTGTGTATAATGACCAACTCATTGTTAGTGCACTATTGTTAATGGGATTAAATGTTATATTAACAATTGATATGGATACTGGTGATCCTGTTTTATAGATTGAAATAGTAAATAGTAAAATTAGACTCTGACCTGGCATTTTGATAGTATAAGTACTATAATTGCCATTTGAAAGAGAAGCTGAACAACTAATCATAGTTCCATTGAATGATATACCTACTGATTGTAAAGTACCAGTACTTGTAACAGTATTATCCATAATACTAATGACATTGAGTGTAATAGCATCTCGCACAGTTGATCTTATATTATTATTTAGTATTGATGCAATGCCAGTACTATCATTTCTCCAAAAGGTATTACCAGTTCCACTAGCTACACAAGTAAGTACTAGTTCATCATTGGGACAGATAGGATAATAAGATGGAGAGGTTTGAACTAACTCTGCTCCAGATGATAGCAAAAAGAGATCAGTCAATACAAGACACCAGTAGATACCAGTAGTAGCCATTAGTATATCAGCAAGAAAAATAAGAACTGAAATATTATGTGGCTTGTTATGATACATAAACAATAAGCAACTACTCACTTAACTCAAAGCAGTGTTGCTGTTGTTCTTCTCTATGCCACCAACAGTTACTCCTACTTTTTGTGGTGACTCATATCTACTCTAGTTATCATAACTATTAAGCATATGTTCAGTGCATGCATGATTACATGTGCATAGTACATCTGTATAATCAATTTAATACTGGGATGTTTTAATTGCAAGCTGTATATTACATTACTGTATAGTGGAAAATTTTCGTGACCCAAAAGTTTTATGGATTTCGCAATTTTTCAAAATCCACAAAAATAAAATCCGCGAAAATTGATTGAATACAGTTCAAGATGGCTGGAAAGTGGAAAAGCTTGAAAATTAAAGCCATTAAATTGTTTTTTGAATGGATCCATGAAATTTTTGGGCCATGAAAATTTTCCGCTATGCAGTATGTAAAATAGATCAATAGAGATTGTAAGGTTTTCCTTTTTTTATTTTATAATTTTGTTTGTCCATAAGCAGTGTTAAGTTTAGTATCAATAATTTGTTCTTGTTGTTCAGTATTGATTGTTGGTAAATCATATATTGGACCAATAACTGCTGCTTCTCCTCCTCCTCTTACTGGAGCTTTATTTTGTATTGTAGTCCCTCTCTTTTTCATTATTAAACATACAATGATACTAGTAATTATTGCAGTAATGAGTCCAGTTAATAGACCAGTGATAGGTACAGCAATAGCAACTGTGTGTGTGTAATAGATTAGATACACTTAATGTATTAACTAACCACTAATGGATCCTACATCTGTTGATTGTGACATTGTTGTGGTAATGCATAAGGAACAACCTAATGAACAATGTGTTCACTGTAAGTACTGATTATTTTAACTTACTGTCAGCACAACTACTGATTGTTTCAGTTGTTGTAATTAATTGTGTTTCTGTGATTGTTGGTAATGCTGTCATAGCTGAGCTTTTATCTTGTGTTGTGATATACTCAGTAGTACTCATCATAATGTTAGTGATACTTGATGTAGTAGTGGTTATACTGACTATAGTAATAATATGTATCTATACATTATATTAGGTACTGATGCTATATACCATTAACAGTGACTGATGGTCCATATCCAATAACATTAACAGGTATGATAGTAACAGTGTAGTATTCATTAATAGGAGATAGTCCAGTAATAGTAGTATTAGTATCTGTTACATTATAACTGTACACAGAACAACTATTAATACAAATTGTTGTAATGTATACATTAATAATGTAATACTCAATAGGAGGACGTAATATTGTAGAGTCCTAATAGAATTTATTATTATCATAAATAATAATAATTTTAACTTACTTCATTGTTATTCCACCATATTGTAATACTATCAGTTGATATTTGATCCCAACTAATATTAACAACTTGAGCTGGTACTATAAGAAATACAATGAGTGTGTGTGTGTGTGTGTGTGTGTGTGTGTGTGTGTATAGTACTTACCATTCCATATATACTGTATTAATGATGAAGGAGGTCCTTCTAATTCACCAATGCCGACAGGAATAATAATAAATGAATAATTAGTACCAATGATAAGAGCATCAATAGTTATATCAGTGTTATTGGTAGTCCGGAATTCGTTATGTGTATTGTTACTATTAATAGTAACATTATAATAGTCTATACATGATCCTGAAGCACTCCAATTAATTAATAAGGCATCATTAGTATTAGCTGTAATAGCTATACTACTAACTGGTGTTGTTGGGGGACCTGTTATAATTATGAATTATATCATCATGTGTATGCTGATACATACCTGCTATATTAATAGTTAATGTATCATAATTTATTCCATCACTTGAACAACTAATAGTACTTCCATTCAATTGTACTGGAACTGATAGATTAGTAGCAGTACTGACTAGTACACCATTATCATAACTTGTGATACTTAATGTAAAGTCATCAAGTGTAGGAATTGTTTCACTAGTGGTTAAAACTGCAGGATTATTGCCATTATTTCTTCTCCATACTACTCCTCCTCCTGTACCTTCTACTACACATGTGAACACTAGTGTATCTCCAGGACATGCAACAGGATAAGGAGTGTGATTGAATGAGACAACACTTTGTCCTGTTACTATATAAGAACATAAATTAATACTTTAACTGACTTTTTACTGACCTAATACAAGAAAACTCAAACATTCAGTCAATACAAGACGCCAGTAGATACCAGTAGTAGCCATTAGTATCAGTAAGAGAAATAAGAACTGAAATACTGTTATGACACATAAACAGTAAGCAGTTGTTCTTCTCTGTGCCAACAGTAGTTACACCTACTTGTGGTGTACTCATGCTATCATAACAATTAAGCATATCTTGTGCATGCATGAGTAGTTGAGTACATGTGAATATTAAAACTTAGGCAATGGAATATTTGTTTGCAAGCAGTACATTAATCTTTAGATATTATTGAATTTTTCTTAATTTTATATATTAGCTTGCCCATATGCAGTGTTAAGTTTAGTATCAATAATTTGTTCTTGTTGTTCAGTATTGATTGTTGGTAAATCATATATTGGACCAATAACTGCTGCTTCTCCTCCTCCTCCTACTGGAGTTTTATTTTGTATTGTAGTCCCTCTCTTTTTCATTATTAAACATACAATGATACTAGTAATTATTGCAGTGATGAGTCCAGTTAATAGACCAGTGATAGGTACAGCAATAGCAACTGTGTGTGTGTGTAATAGATTAGATACACTTAATGTATTAACTAACCACTAATGGATCCTACATCTGTTGATTGTGACATTGTTGTGGTAATGCATGAAGAAGAACCTAATGAACAATATGTTCCCTGTATGTACTGATTATTATAACTTACTCTCAATACTACAACTACTTATTATTGTTTCAGTTGTTGTAATTAATTGTGTTTCTGTGATTGTTGGTAATGCTGTCATAGCTGAGCTTTTATCTTGTGTTGTGATATACTCAGCAGTACTCATCATAATGTTAGTGATACTTGATGTATTAGTGGTTATACTGACTATAGTAATAATATGTATCTATACATTATATTAGGTACTGATGCTATATACCATTAACAATGACTGATGGTCCATATCCAATAACATTAACAGGTATGATAGTAACAGTGTAGTATTCATTAATAGGAGATAGTCCAGTAATAGTAGTATTAGTATCTGTTACATTATAACTGTACACAGAACAACTATTAATACAAATTGTTGTAATGTATACATTAATAATGTAATACTCAATAGGAGGACATAATGTTGTAGTATCCTAGTAGAATCTATTATTATCATAAATAATAATAATTTTAACATACTTGATTCCACCATATTGTAATACTATCAGTTGATATTTGATACCAACTAATATTAACAACTTGAGCTGGTACTATAAGAAATACAATGAGTGTGTGTGTGTGTGTGTATATAGTACTTGCCATTCCATATATACTGTATTAATGATGAAGGAGGTCCCTCTAATTCACCAATGCCGACAGGAATAATAATAAATGAATAATTAGTACCAATGATAAGAGCATCAATAGTTATATCAGTGTTATTGGTAGTCCTGGATTCATCATGTGTATTGTTACTATTAATAGTAACATTATAATAGTCTATACATGATCCTGAAGCACTCCAATTAATTAATAAGGCATCATTAGTAATAGCAGTAGTAGCTATACTACTAACTGGTGTTATTGGTGGACCTGTTATAATTATAAATTATATCATTATGTGTATGCTGATACAAACCTGCTATATTAATAGTTAATGTATCATAATTTATTCCATCACTTGAACAACTAATAGTACTTCCATTCAATTGTACTGGAACTGATAGATTAGTAGCAGTACTAACTAGTACACCATTATCATAACTTGTGATACTTAATGTAAAGTCATCAAGTGTAGGAATTGTTTCACTAGTGGTTAAAACTGCAGGATTATTGCCATTATTTCTTCTCCATACTACTCCTCCTCCTGTACCTTCTACTACACAAGTGAACACTAGTGTATCTCCAGGACATGCAACAGGATAAGGAGTGTGATTGAATGAGACAACACTTTGTCCTGTTACTATATAAGAACATAAATTAATACTTTAACTGACTTTTTACTGACCTAATACAAGAAAACTCAAACATTCAGTCAATACAAGACACCAGTAGATACCAGTAGTAGCCATTAGTATCAGTAAGAGAAATAAGAACTGAAATACTGTTATGACACGTAAACAGTAAGCAGTTGTTCTTCTCTGTGCCAACAGTAGTTACACCTACTTGTGGTGTACTCATGCTATCATAACAATTAAGCATATGCTGTGCATGCATGAGTAGTTGAGTACATGTGAATATTAAACCTTAGGCAATGGAATATTTACTTGCAAGCTGTACGTTACATTAATCTTAATTTTCCTTTTTTATATATTAGTTTGTCCATATGCAGTGTTAAGTTTAGTATCAATAATTTGTTCTTGTTGTTCAGTATTGATTGTTGGTAAATCATATATTGGACCAATAACTGCTGCTC